CTCTCTACTTTGTGGGGGACAGTAATAGGATGTCCTTGAGCCTTCGGGCCTTGGTGGGCGATAGCATCCACATCAGTTCGGTTTCAGCAGAATGAGATCGTGTATGGCTAGTATCTCATTCTTGTAGGTAGGCAAACAAACAGTCTGCGGCGTCGACAAAAACAGTTCGATGCGATACTTGGGACAGACAATACTGGAGTAGTGTAGAACAACCACATTAGTCCCAATACACTACACTCATACAAAATATTCGAGTTGAATAGTGGTCGTTATTGCTATGACACGAATAATCTCTGACATTGACCACCCGGAAAATAGTCTGACAGATCGGCATGATACTGCATCTCATACTTACACAGGCTGGGTCAAAGGGTTGGGCGAGTGCGGAAGGTCTTTCGTCACTGCAACGCATCTGGCAATAGCACTCAAAGCGCCCTATGGGCAAATTTCTGATTGAAGGAAAGCATACTCGTGTCAAATACTCATGTAGAATACTCACGGAATACTCAGCCAGAACACCCACGCACAAGGCCTTATATACCCCCTCGACCCCGTTTCCGTCACCAGCACAGCAGGCGCCCTCTAGGTCGGGGGTCAGGTCAAACTGTGGCGTGGGTGGTGGAATGGTTCATGGTCAACAATTAATTTATACGCCAACCAGCCTACTCGACGACAGGCTTAGCGAGTACCCGAGTTCGAATCCCAGCATGAGCACCAGAAATTTCCCAGTATGAGCGCCAGAGATGTAACCCCCAGTTCAGCACCGGGGGGGTGAACTCTTTTGCCTGGGCTGTTGAGGAATTATGCTTACTCGAATTCTGTGTACCAGCTTATTCGTAGTGACAACGACTATCTCCCACAGCAACAAGTCACGCACGACTCTATATCTCTCCTCTCCCAAAGCTTGGGAACAAGATGCCTCCACCTTTCAAGGGATGACACTGGATATTTCGATTATCAAAGGCTCGATCAGGGGCTTCAAAATACCTGGAATAGGTGGGTATTCTGCGAGACATGATTGCCCTTTTCAGTCTCCTGAAGCACCGATTGGAAACCTTCTCTTGTTTGCCCGTCGACGGCTAACGTGATGGGATCCATCGCACCTGCTCTGGATCTTGGTCTAGCAGCTGGGTTGACTTGCCTTGCATCAGAAGGGCCCTGCTCCTCACTTCGGATTTATCGCACAGAGAACACCTGTTTCCGATCTGGAGCTGAAATTTCCCAAGTTAGGGGCAAGTAATACGTTATGATCTCTCAAGTTTTGAACAACAAGTGACTAATCGGATTGAGATAAACATGTCGCACGGAACCGTGATGCCCACTTCCGGGTATGTAAACTTTCTATAACGCAATGGCAATTTTGATATCATCTTGGCTGACTTTGCGCTTCTGGGATACAACGGCAATCGAACCGACTCTGTTTTGAACCAAATTCGAGATAGCGGATGAGTTGGCGGACTTTTATACAAGCTTTTGACTAAGCCCGGCGGATGGTCTGCGGTCTAAACCAACAATTTAAGATGACAAATTTACCCACGAACACATACTGCATAATGGTAAGGTTGATCAGTGTTTGTTATCTGACGAAATCCGCGAAGACGAGAATGGGGATTCTCGCGATGAATAAAAAAATCGTGGCAAATATCTCAAGATGTAGTGCATATATCAAGACGAATCGCTCTTAGACACTTCTCTCTGTAGTTCATTCAATCCGTCCAACATTACATTCTAGCATCTCAATCACTCCAACAGCGACATCCCATCTTCCAAAATGTCCCCTAAAGTGACCAACGTCGGCTTCATCGGCCTATCCTCCCGACCGTACGTACCTTAGCAGCCACGCTTCTCATTCCTTTGAAACTCACAGATACTAACAACGAGGATAGCGAATGGTCCTGGGCCGTCGCCGCTCACCTCCCCTACTTCATCAACTCCAAACACTACAACTTCGCAGCCCTCCAAAACAGCTCCAGAGAAACAGCCCAAAAAGCAATCCGCCTCCACAATCTTGCGCAAGACACCAAAGCCTACGGCGACATCAACGCCCTCGTCTCCGACCCAGACGTCGACCTCATAGCCGTAACCATAAAAGTCCACCTCCACGCCGCAGCCGTCGAAGCCGCCATCCGCGCCGGGAAAAGCGCCGTCTTCTGCGAGTGGCCCCTGGCGCGGAACAGCATCGAGGCAGAGCGCCTGATGTCCCTAGCTAGAGAAAAGGGCGTCAGGACCCTGCTAACCTTTAAGCCAAGGAACTCGTGGAACGCGGGGCATTGGGGGATATGCTGCAGACCACGATGTTGTTCACGAGCCCTTGGTTCGGGCCTACGATGCCCGAGGCGGTGGGGTACGGCGCCCATATCGAGAATGGCGCTAATCTAGTGTCCATCTCGGCGGGCCACGCGCCGGACGCGATGTGTTTTGTGTTGGGGAGTTGAGAGGAGTTCAGGCTACGTTGGTGAATAATTGGCTATGGGTGGTTACCATTGACAGCGAGGGGAAGTTGAAAGGTGAGGTTGAGAAGACGGTGCATGATTATACCTTTGTGGTGGGGAGGTTTTTCGGCGGTTGGGTTGCGACTGCGGTTTGCTAGGACGGTATGAGCCAGGTTGACAAGAATTTCTTTTGGGAGATTACGGGGACAAAGGGGACGCTTTTGATTGAGGGTTTGATGGGGAATATCCAGGGATTCCCGCCGACGATCAAGTTCGTCAAGGCTGAGCCGAGTCCCGTGCTGGAGGTTGTTGAAGTGGATGAGGTCAAGGGGTTTTCGAATAACACGGGCAAGGCGTGGGAGGCGTTCGCCAGGGGTTCTGGGGAGGCGCCGGATTTTGACGTTGCTTTGATTAGGCATCGTATGTTGAATGCTATCTATAGGAGCAGTGAGCTTGGTACGAGAGAGGAGTACTGGTGAGTAGCCAAGCTATTTTGGGCGTATCTGCCAATCTTCGGAACCGGTTTAAGTAGAGCGCGGATGTTGACTGTTATTGCAACGATGGTCGAGATAGTACAGGAAGAATTCGTGGCCTTCTCTGTGAATCAAGGTGGTTTGTTTAGTCAAAGCTCAGCTGAAGATGAAGTCGAAGAAGTTGGCTCGTGAAACCAAAGCTTTTGTTGCCATCTTATCATACAGGAAGTCTATACCCATCGCTGATTCCCATTTGTTGTACATATTCTATTTTATTATCCTTGTATTGCCAAGCAAATCAAGTCGCTCAGTGTCTGTAAATGGCGTCCGCCATCTTGACAATCTGGCACATCTCAACGGCATCGTGAACTCTGACAATGTCCGCGCCGCCCTGGACAGCCGAGACGACCGTGGCCGCCGTGCCCCAAATCCGCTCCTGCGGCTTCGACACACCAGTGAACTTGCCGACGAAGCTCTTCCGGCTAGACCCAACCAGCCAGGGGAACCCCTCCAGGCCCGGCCAGGAACGCAACTCGTCCATGTGGCGCAAAATCTCGAGGTTCTGCGGCCCCGTCTTGGCGAAGCCCAACCCGGGGTCGAGAACGATGCGCCACCGGCGCACGCCCGCGGCCTCGGCCTCGGCGACGCGCTCGAGAAGCTCGCGGGCGATGGTGGGGATCAGGCCGTCGGGGTAGTCCGTCAGCGAGTTCATGGTCGCGGGGGTGCCGCGCATGTGCATGAGGCAGACGGTGCGGTTGCTGCGCGCCATGTAGGGGATCATGGACGGGTCGAGCTGGCCCGCGGACACGTCGTTGATGATGTCGGCACCCGCAGCGACGGCGGCCTCGGCGACGGAGGCGCGGTAGGTGTCGATGCTGACGGCGAGGTGGGCGAGTTCGGGGAGGGCGCGGACGAGCTTGATGACGGGGAGGACCCGGGCGAGTTCCTCGTCGGCGGGGACTTCGGGGCGTCCCGGGGCCGTGGAGCAGCCGCCCACGTCGACGATGGTGACGCCGGCGGCGGCGAAGGATTTGAGGGTCGCGACGAGGTTTTGGGCGTTGTGGACGCCGCCGTCGGAGAAGGAGTCGGGAGTGGCGTTGATGATGGCCATGACGTAGGTTTGGCGGCTGGAGGTGAGGGCGGCGAGGGGAGGGTGAGAGGCGGAGATGGGGGTGAGTGGTGAGAGGGGCGCCGCTGAGGGGGGAAGCTCGTTGAGGTAGTCCAGGGTGAGTTTCCAGGGGTTGGATGCGTAGAGAGGCTTTTCTGGGATGAGTCTGAGATGGAGTGTGTTAGTCGCCATGTCATGTGAGAGGACGTTTGAGAGAGGACGGACTCAGCCAGAGGTCGCAGGACGAATTCTCTCTCGGGTATGCCGATGTGAGGCACGTTGAGACGAGGATGCTCAATCTTTTCATCACCATACATGAGAATGTCGAGGTCAATGTTTCGGGGGCCCTTGTCTATCAGCTTCTTACGGCCCAGGGTGCGCTCAATGTCCTGGAGTTCATCGAGAAGAGCCAAAGGTTCGAGTTCAGTCTCGACCTGTATGTCATCCGATCAGTCAAAAGTTAATTGACATAGCTACACTTCCAAGAAGTGCATGAATATCACACATAAAACCCTGAGCTCATGAACGGAGACAGAGTGAAGGAGAGATTTCAAAGAATGAGTGTCACTAACCTCACAGACTCCATTGACGAACCTATCCTGATCTAACACATACATGGGCTCCGTCTCCCACAAGCTGCTGGTGCGCTTCACCTTGATGCCGCGGCGATCCATCTCGGCGCAGGCCTGCTCGATCCAGGCAACGCGGTCGCCGAGGTTGCTGCCGAGCGCGATGTAAGCCGTGCTCGGACCTTTAGGTTTGGCGGCGCCGCTGCCGCATCCACCGCCGCCGCTGCAGGCGCATCCACAGGCCGACCGGGTCTGGGCGGCGCCGGCGGACATGACCGGCGACGGGGTCCGGCGGGAGGGCATGGTTGCTGCTGACCGGGGGCGGGAGCGGGTGAGGAGTGCGGTGACAGGGTTGGTGGAGGAGGAGGGACTACCCCGTGACGAAGAAGTGCAGAACGTGCGCGAGGAGGAAGAGGCTATGCAGGATGTTGCAGCTGCTGGTGATGCCGTCGTGAGCTGGAACCGGACAAGTCGCGGCGTTAGGGACTGGCGACGCGCATTGTTGCTCCGTGCTAGGGCGCAAGCTCGTGGAAAGAGGGAGGGTTGGTGACGGAGGGGGTTTGGGGGTTTCATCACGACGGAAGGGAGAAAAGGAGGCCAACGGCAAAAAGCCCACAGTCCAGTAAGGTAATATCCAATGGGTTTGTGTGTCTTGTGTGTTGAGGGTCACTAAGAAGGAGAGAATCTTTTCTTGCAGCCAATGAGGGTCGGGTGTGCACCGTGGTGGTCCCTTTACAATCCAGTGATTAGGTAAGACGTGGAAAAGCGCGTAAAGTGGCTTTGGAGGGGTTCGACTGGAAATCAGTGTACGAAGTGAGGTATCCGTAGAATGGGCTGACCTGAGGCGAAGTAAGCTATTCCAAGGCTGGTAAGGAAGACGGGGGTCGTCGTCTAGGATACCAGATTGACAAAGAGGTGCAGACGCTCGTCTGTGTTTCCAGAGAACCAAAGTCCGAAGTGCCCGCTTGTGGTTGCAACGAGGTTGGAAGATGGTTAGATCATGACATGATTCGAGCCGAGAGAGAGTTTGCGGGCTCATTTCCAAACGTTCTGGAACGGATAAAAGCGCCTGGTTGACTCGGTGCTCAGGCCCGCTGTCAGACTCAGTAGAGAGCACAACTGTTCAATTCACCCGTCGCATTCGCCGTGCGATGTCAAGATGGGAAAAAACGACCGTGTCCGAAAGTGAGTAAGAGAGAGAAAGGGGGTAAACGTCAAACACGTCTCCTACTTTGGTCCCCACGAGGCTTTGCAAAACGACTCCAATTTCACAGTAAATGTGAACACGGAAAGCTCAGACCGAGGTCACCGGTCCGAGTCCGATCGATGAATCAATCACTTTTGGGGTGGAGGGAGGGATGCATAAACGAATTATGCTTTGCCCTGCTTATGTAAGGTACACCAAACTGTACTGTATCTTGTGCTCCTGTGGCCCTTGTGAAATTGTCCCGCTTCTGGGCTGGAGGCTGGTAAGTGACCCTCGGCATCTCTCAGGTTCCCCAGATCCACCCCGCTGGACTGACCCGCCTTGCCCAAACAGGATTAGTTGCTGAGGTCACAGGCGAACCTCGGCCCAGGACTCCCAGCAGGGGCGCATGGCAACGCTACTCCGCCCCTTCTTCCCCAGAAACCAAAAGTGCCTTTGATGCCGAGCGCTACTACCACCGGAACCCTTTAAACCGCCGATTGCCAGATCTCACCTCTTCCCCCAAGATTTATTTGCTCTTCCTCTCATCTACTACTCTTCTTCCCAGGCCAAATTTCTTCGTCTGTACAGCTTCACGACCCGATATACCCAGGTCTTTTTAGCATTTATCACATCCAGTAACACAGGCACAATGGCGTCACCTCGTAAGTAACCTATCTCGCTATCCGGACCTTGCCTGTCACATGGGACAAGATGGTCCGCCTCAGGGCTACTGCTGACACGTTCCCGCGATAACAGAGCAAATCCGCACTCCCATCACCGATCTTTTCAAGATCAAGCACCCGATCCTGCTTGCCGGCATGAACGTCGCTGCCGGCCCCAAGTTGGCTGCTGCTGTCACCAACGCCGGCGGTCTCGGTGTCATTGGTGGTGTCGGATACACACCGGACATGTTGAAGGAGCAGATCGCAGAGCTCAAGGAGTACCTGGTTGACAAGAACGCCCCCTTCGGTGTTGATCTGCTTCTTCCCCAGGTCGGTGGCAGCGCGAGAAAGACCAAGTAAGCATCGAACCACTCAACTCCACACGTCTTCTGGAGTGAAGGGCGCGCGGGCATGTGCCGCATCTACAGCCTTTAACCGAGGCTAATTCCTTGTTCTTTAGCTACGACTACACAAAGGGAAAGCTTGACCAGCTTGTTGACATCATCATCGAGTCGGGCGCCAAGCTCTTCGTCTCTGCTGTCGGTGTCCCTCCTAAGCACGTCGTTGATAGACTTCACGCTGCCGGCATCGTCTACATGAACATGATCGGACACCCCAAGCACGTCCAGAAGTGCCTCGACCTCGGCGTCGATATCATCTGCGCCCAGGGTGGTGAGGGTGGTGGCCACACCGGTGACGTCCCCACCACTGTCCTCATCCCCGCCGTTGTCGACCTCTGCAAGAACACCAAGAGCCCTCTCCTGAAGGGCCCCGTTCAGGTCATCGCCGCCGGTGGCATCCACAACGGCCAGCTTCTGGCCGCCGCCCTCATGATGGGTGCCGGTGCCGTTTGGGTTGGAACCCGATTCATTCTCACTGATGAGGCCGGTGCCCCCGAGGCACACAAGGAAGCTGTCCGCACCGCCGGCCACGACGACAACATCAAGACCCTCATCTTCACCGGCCGTCCCCTTCGTGTACGCAAGAACCCGTACATTGAGAACTGGGAGACCGAGCGCCAGCAGGAGATCAAGGAGCTCACCGCCAAGGGTGTCATTCCCTACGAGGCCGACCTTGAGAAGCTCATGAACTCAGGCGACGGTGAGGGCAGCGGCGAGAGCGGCAGCGACGATAACGCCGCAGAGGTCGACATTGACGATGCCCTCGACCAGTTCCGCCCCTTCCTCATGGGTAAGGCCGCCGCTGTGTGTAATGACAAGAAGCCCGCCAAGGCAGTCATGGACGAATTTGTAAACGACGCCGTCGCATGGCTTCAGAAGGGCAACAAGATGATTGCCAAGTTGTAAATTGTTAAAAAGCGTAATGTTCTTTTTTTAGTTGGTCGCATATTTGGGTGTGCGCCAGGAGAAGCCTATGCCTGGCGCCTCCCCAGGGCCTGGAGTTATGAGGCTCTTGTTTTGTATATTTGAGATGAACTGAGATGGATGATTGCTAGCATACCATGAAATGAACTACAAACTTCTCTTCATATAAGTTGACACTATTTTCCTGTGACGCCATTGCGGCATCCCCAATCTGGGGAAGCCGAAAAGACGAACAATTCTCCAGTTCCAAATTCCAGAGAACTTCCGTCTGTGCTCGAGGTCTGATTGAATTTTTTCTCCGACAAGTGGCCAGTAAGGAAATGGGACGTGACTGGAACGGCTGACCCCCAAAAGTCGCAACGTGTTCTCGCACTCTCTTGCGCTCAAGTTTTTTGTAGAGTTTCCGCTGCCAAGTCACACATGAACACGACGGACCCTTGGAAGGCTAAGCGCCAAGTGGATACTTCACATGCTATAACCTCTCTCCCCGTCTCTCCACACATGTTCTCGGCCGCAGATCAACTCCTCAGCGCCAAGACAGAACACGCTAGACAACAGACAAGAACATGGTGATGAAGCTCAATTCTATTCATTCATAGTTATGTATTAGACCCAAACCAAGCAAGTGTCAATCCACTCCCCCGTCGCCGGCTTCTGTCTGTACGCCTCATGTGCCGGGATGCAATTCAAATCTCAAAAGCCCTCAGCATGCATCTTTTCCTCCCTTCCCGACCTCGAGATCCCCACGATGACCCTCCAGGCTCACTTGATAAGCAGTCCGTTGTGAAAAAGCACACAAGGTATCCTTTTTTCGCGTCCGCCTGCTGTTGTCCAACGTTCTGCTTTCGTTACCTTCCGACTCCCCTGGCGTAAGGCATTCGTCCCTCTAAACGGTGCGAGGGGGGGACCTTGGGATATGGCCGCTTTCTATATCTCAATGGCAAAGTGAAATTCCAATTTCAATTCTGTCGTTTCCAGTGACGTCATGTCGAACCGCTCAGCTTCCGAGGTAGGCGCGGATGGCACCCTGCAGCTTCTGGCTGGCCTCGCCGGCCAGCTGACCAAGGTTCTCCAAATCGTCGCCTGCGGTAATACCGAATCTACGAATGAAGTCCTTGGCGGCGCCCTCGAGGTCGCCGTATTCCTCTTGCGGCTCATCCTCGGGGCGGCCAAAGTATGCGTTGGACGAGATGGAGGTAGCGCCCTCGAAACCTTGCAGACGAGTCTTCGCCTCGGCCTGTTGGTTGGGGTCGAAGGAGCCCTTGCCGAAGAACTCATCAGAGGAGATTCCCTTCTGGGCGCCAAACTTGCTGCGTGCGTAGTTCTCGCTCTCATCTGCATCGCTGTTAGTTGCGCATTCGTGATTTAGGAAAGCGGTCTTCTTACCCTCAGTCTTAGCCTTGATGGGGCCAACGGAGCCGAATCCACCAGTTCCGGCCTTCTTGGGCGCTGCGGCGGCACCCTTGGCTCCACCAACCATGCCGAAGCCCAACTTGCGAACACCCATGCCCAAACGCTCCATCTCGGCGTCAGACTTTTGACGGGTATGGCTGGATGATCCGTATCCACCCGAGGGAGCAGCAGGGGTAGGAGCCGCGACAGCATCCACCTTGGCGGCTTTCTTCTCCTCCTCAGCCTCAGGGTCATAGCCCAGCTTCTCGATGCGCTCCGCCTCTTCCTTGGCCTTCTTCTCAGCCTCGTCGAAGTCGATGATATCAGCCGTGACCTTCTTGACTCCAAGCTTGGGGGCCTTCTTGGCTCCCAAGATGTTGGCCTTACGGGGTCCCGTGGAGGTCGTAGTCTTGCGCAGGGCAGCAGAGGTGGTTACGCGGCCGGTAGTGGGCTTGTTATCGCCTTCCGTTTTGGACAGGGGCGAGGAGGATCGTGCAATATCCTTGCCGGCACCGTTGTTGGCGTTGAGGAAGGGAGAGGCGGTTCGGCCGACGGTCGGAGGAGTGGAAGTGCGAGAAATCGGGGGCGTAGGCTTCTTGATAGAGGGCTTATCCCAGGAAGAGAAGAAGTCATCGTCAGGCTCGCCAGCGGGAGTAGAGGTATCGGCGTCGGTAGCGTCGGTGATGACAACCTCGCCGGGGTATCTGTCTCGTCAGCTTATCTGGCACTCAAGAATGACAATTTGTATACGTACTCTTGAGCGTCTCTTGCCGCGCGGCGCTTCAGCTCGTCCTTGTACTTGGTGGCAGCGCTGGATTGGTACTTGGTCTTGGGGTCCTTGCTGTTGAGGGCAGCAGTACCTCCATTCTGCTGGAAGAACTTGGTAGCTGACTCATTGCCGCCAACCTTCATCACACGCAGCTGATCCCACTGCCATTCTGTCGTAAAGGTCAGTCAAGGGAGGGAAAGTAAGACGGTCTTCCGAGTACACGTACGGTCGAGGTTGGTGGATCGGACGAAGGAGATATGGACACCGAGGTTTCGGTGGTTAGACGAGCAGTCGAGGCAGAGGTAGATGCCAAAGGGAACTGAGGTCCATGTCGGGTACTTGGCGCCGCAATCGAAGCAGATCTGTGGTGTGCGCAAGTCAATCAACACTGCGCAACATAGCAAACTTTGGGCATAAAGGGGTACAGGGTATTGGGCATACCTTGTTCGCAGGCTTAGTCTTCAATTTCTCAAAGATCTTGAGCGACTGCTGCTTGGAAGCGAGTGCAGCCATCGTGACGGTATTGGCAAAAAATCAGTTGTGTGCTTCTAGTCCTGGAGCTGAAAGCGCAACCTGTTGCGAAGGCCGTGATGTCAAAGGGAGCGAAAGAGGGTGCAGGTTGCGGGTACAGAAATGATGCGCAACCGAGAGCGAAGCAGGGAGCGGAGTTATCTGAATTTCGTGTCCAAAAGTTCAGGAGGCAGTCGCCGCCCTTGGGTGAAGTGGCATGTAGCCAAAGCGCTAGACCTAAAAAGGCTAGATCAATTCCCCCACAGTGGGCTGGCAATTGGGATTCTGCCAAGGGCGGTCAAGAGGCTTTTGCAGAGCTCGCCCAGACCAGCTACATGGGGAGCTCCAACTTTCGACTGCCGAGCTCTTTTCGACCACTACCGTACCCTGCTTGCTGCGGTTGTACGATGGCTGACGTCGAACCACCATGATGAAGACGACTACCTGTTCGAATGCGATCCGCGCAACTGCGAGATTAGGTCTTGCGCCCCGACTACAACCTCTACTACTCCAGCGAAGCTATGCGACGCAGTACGGTCTCGGAACCACCGCCTCGACAACTAGCTCAAAACGAAAGAAAGTCACACCATTCAACGACAATGGGTCGGTACCTTGGTCGCAGCTTTCTGGGGGAGAAAAGGCAGCCAGGGCGACTCAGCAGACCTTCAACTTTGGGCTGATTTTGGCTGGTATCGCAGTGACGGCAAGTCAAATGACTTCTACCCCGCGGCAACTAGTAGCTAACGATGAGGGTGGTCTAACAGGGCGGAGTTGCATATGTTTTGTGGACAGATGTCTTCTCTCCGGACAGCAAAACTGCTGTCTTCAACCGAGTCGTTGACAAGATCAAGGCTGATCAGAAGTGCATCGAAATGCTGGGAGATTCGAAGAAGATTGTTTGCCATGGCGAGGAAACGTATAACAAGTGGCGACGAGCACGTCCGATTGCGTATGTCGCTTCTCCCATGACAAGGATCATATAAGTCTGACTTGATTAGCTCTACTATCAACACGGATTCGAGAGGCCACGAGCATATGCTCATGCATTTCCATGTCGAAGGGCCCCTCAACAGGGGTGTGGTTTACCTCCACATGATCAAGACGCCCATCTCCGGCGAATTCGAATACAAGTACCTCTACGTTGATGTGAGAGGGCACCAGCGACATTACCTTGAGAACGCAGATACGGCGACCGGTTCTGGAAAGAAAGGCGTCAGGTTCCTCGGCATCAACTGGGGATGATCCCGATATGCAAAAGGGCACTAGGTTGAAATGAGAGCATGTACGAGAAGCATTTCCTTGTAGTGTAAGATATCAGCATCCTTGCCAAAGCTTGGAGGGCGTGTAGCATACGTATTGATCTATTCGAGTGCTTTCAGCTTGGCATCGTTATACCGTTATCCATGAATTTGCCCCAAGAATCTTGCTCTCGCCACCTTCAGGCAACGCGATTAGATGCAAATGTGACTTAGTCTAAGAATGCACGTTTGTCTTTGTTCATCCCGTTACCGTTCCGATCAAACACAAGTTGCCTATCATCTACTACTGCCAAGGTCATGCCAAAACTGTAACAGGCACCGTACACCTTAATCTCCTTTCTTACCACGATAATTCAGGGTTAGGTAACACAAACTTCACATCATCCCATTCTCTCGCCATGCAATGAGGCCTTATCATCTCTCTTCAATGGCCTGTGCCTCACTTGTCTTTGGTAATGCCACTGAAAGTCGGGTTGCAATGACGCCACTAGCAGCGTTGGATGTTGTTGGACCTGTGGCGCTAGATTTCTGAGGCTCACCAACCTGCTGACCAGCTCCGAGAACCGAGCTGGGGGTGTACGTTGCCGGAATGTTTGCCGCTACGGTCTTTTTAGCCTCGTGGTAGAGACTGAAGCAATGAATGAGAGCCTGGTCAACAGACATGTTCTCTGGGACAATGCCAGTGTCGAGGATCTGTTTGAGGTGGTCTTCGACCTCGTCGAACTCCGCCTGGTCAGAGCGGTAACGGTCGGGCAGTCCGCTATTGTGCAAAAGTGCGAGTATTCCAGCATTGATAGTGTTCGTAGCCGCAATTATGGTGATGGGAGTGCCGTTCTTGAAAGACATGGAACCGATTGCGGTAAGGATCGCTCCGAGAATGATCTGAAGAATGTAGGCAACCCATCGAATGGAGCTCATGCCATGGTACATGTAGAAATACTTGGTCCGATGCCAGATGACATCTCTGTACAGTCCATTCGGGATTCCTTTGGGTGGATAATACCAACAGGAAGGATGAAGGGCAATGTGGCCCTCGGTATCATTGACACCGCCGATTCCATGAGCAACGATAGCCCATTCAGAGGGAGTGAGAAAACGATATCTAACCCGATGTTGCTTCTGCTTCTTCAAGCGAGGCCGAAACGAAGACTGGTTAGGCTCGTCTGAGCTCTTCGAAGTGTCAGGCCGTGTGTTGTCATTATCCATCTCGGCTTCAATGCCGTCGAGCTGCAGAGGAGGGAGTTCTCGCATGACTGTAGTCTAGGTGGTGCGAAGAAGAGGTGAGTGGAGAATCGAAGAGGATCTGATGCAGCTACTGGTCTCTCAAAAGAGTCAGTCTAGCTCTGTTACAGATCATCATTGATTAGAAATACTTACAGGACGCCTTCGCAGAGAAAGCTGGATTGCGAGGCAACGGTCTAGAGACACAGCCGCGACTCGACAAGGGGAACCTAGGATGATGGAGGAGGACAAGTTGGAATGGAATGGTATGGAACATCTTCACCGTGGGAACGTTAAAAACAGCAGGTTCCATATTTGGGAAGGTGTTGGCCGGCGTTCCTTCCAGCTGCCCTCGTATGTCAACGTTCATCGGCAAGAACAACTCAACATCACCTTCCCTCAACCGACTGGGTTCTTGCCGATTGCGGCTCGTTCACGAGACGGAAATAAGCATGATCATAACCGGAAAGGGTCTCAACTGCGTCTTTGCGACACCTCCTAAGGGATAGTTAGAAATTGGAATGGTTGTCTGCGTAGCAGGAACGTCTTCTCTTTCCATCAATTGACTTGCTAGCCTTACTTTCACGGAAGGACATGAAGAAATTGTGATTTTTTGCCAGAAAACTGCCTCGAGACCTGTCAGTTGCATACCTGAGGCACCTAGGATATCTCGTAACCGTCTTTCCCTGTCGTGGGTTCAGGTGAGGCCCTTTCACGCTCGCTTGCCGGGTGACTCAACACACCGCCCACACCCAGCCTTTCACCTCACATCTTCAACCTCACCCCGAACACAAATCACTCACCCTTATTCCGATTGCAATTGAAGCTATTCCATCAAGAAGACATCAACAGACAGGCCGATTGGTCAAGTGGTAAGATCCTTGCTTTGGATTCAATGAATTATCTGCAAGAGTCCCGCGTTCGAACCGCGGATCGGCCCCTTTTTGATGACTATATCTCCCTGTGAACCCGCCGATCATTGATCTAAGGCATGGCGAGCATATTGAATTGAGCAAGAGGGTCTCTAGCTTCTCTAGGACGTATTAGTTTGTGATCAACTTGACTAGGCAGTATGATAAAAGTATTCATCTTTCTCAGATAATGAATGAAGACTGCCTACCTAGAGCAACAGGTTATTGTTAGGAACGAGTTAAAAGTATTTCATAATCTAAAGGTGAATATTTCATGGGTAAACACTATTATTTTAAGATGATTAATATGAAATCTGGCTTACACTATGAATTTGCTGTCTTCGGGTCCTAGACAGTAGTAAAGTCGTTGCTCAGTTGGATAGGGCACCGAGCCTGACAGTGAGCATCGTCACTCGAAAGAAGTTTGTAGTTGCAAACATGATCCTTCATTCGAAGGGGCTGGTCTTCGAGAAGACTAGGTATGCATGGTATGATCAGTTTCGTTGACGGAAGATGTTCCCATGTGCTTCTTCCAGCCGAATGCAATAGTTGAGTAGATCTACTAATAGCAGTTCCAAGAAAACTTTACACCAGTTATACATCATTTCGCTCAAAATGACTAGTGTTCTATAGCTTTTCTCATAATTTTATACGAAGGTCTACCTTGGTGTCTCGGTGCTAAGACTCTGACCAAACAGTCAAAGACTTACTGTAGCCTAAAATCCCATCACAAACTTCGATGCACTTGCACCAGAATCCGACGCGCATGCTTCACCATAAATCCAACGCTCGGAACCATCCCTTCCAATTCAGGCTTGATCTGATGCAAATGGTCAGACGAGTGCTGCGCATCTCACTGCTTGGCTCCCTCACGGCCGCGTAAGCGCCGTGAGCAGCGCGGCTGACACAGACACTCCTGATTTGCTGGCGCTGCACTTCAGCTCTGTTGCCTAGAGGCAGGCCCCTCCAAAAGCCCAAAGAAACAACTTCACAAATTCCCCTCTGCCATCCCTCCAGCACGCTTCCGATGCAACATGCGTCCATATCAAAGGAAACTCCCTCAGGCAGCAACTTGTAAGAAGGAACGGCAGGGGTTTACAGGTACATTGACGTCAAAACAAAAGACCCTTGGTGCGAGGCATATTCGGTGGGTAGTTGCCCAGAAATGGTAGGGCTGGAAGAGATACATATATGTGATGATGTCCATCCCGTGCTTGGTCAGGCAGACTCTCTGTACAGCCACAGTCTACTAAATCGCTTGGAAGTTTCCCATCCCACTTGCCTGCCTCTTTAACTTCGTGTTCCTTGGTGCCCGCCAGTCGCATTTCGTCTTCTTCCAATGTGCATCCCACGTCCACGCAGACACACAACGCAATCCACCTCACCCATCACAAAACTCCCCTACCAACGCCTCGATTCCCCTCCCCCAACGCCCCGCATGGTCCCCAAACCCAGCGCCATCGGAACCGTCGCCGCCATGCCCACATCGCCGGCCCGGACACCGGCTCTCGCCAACCCGCCAGCCTCCTCCTCCCGCGTATCCCTCCAGCACGAGCGCCTCCTCCTCGAGCTGCTCCCCTTCAAAGACGCCACAAAGTTCCACGACTGGCTC